AGCAACAGGAAGGCTACTGAGTGCGGAAGTGGAAGGAGGAGGAGGAGGAGGAGGAAGAGGAGGGAGAGGAGGAGGGACAAGGGGGATGGGGGGCCGGGGGAGGAGGAGGAGGGCGAGGAGGAGGAGGAGGAGCAGGTGGAGGAGAACAAGGAGGAGGAGGGGGGGGAACTTGAACTTGAACTAGCTCGAGGAAGCCAAGCAATCATCAATGACGCCGCAGTCAACAAAAAGTTGCGGGCAACGCGCGCGACTGACTACCTATAGCTTCTGAGTTGGCTTCTGCAGAAACCGCTGGAAATTGCGAGGAGGAGGAGGAGGAAAGACGAGAAGGAGGAGGAAGAGGAGAAGGAGGTTCGGTAAACGCAGAGTGACATGTATGTATAGACATATATATATACATATACATATATATGTGTATATTTATGTATATGACATACGCATTGGTGCATGTATGCGCGTTGCGTACGCGCTAGTAGAACAAAATGCATATATGCGTCATTCATGTCATGCGCGGCATGATCATGTTTCACTGTTATAACATATCGACATTCAACTGCAACCAATGGCGCGTACAACACCAAACACCAAACGGGCTGGCGTCACATATGAATGCATCCGTGCGCGCGCACATACATACACGTGGTATCGTGTGACCGAGATTGCACTGGCGTCGCGCGTGCTAGCGTTGCCTTGAGTTGAATTGCGTTGCGCGCTGTTGCATGCGCTTGTGCTTTGCGTCTTGTGATCTTGGGGGCATAGTATCACTCGTCGAGCGCTTGCGTTGCATTGCCTTGAATTGCGCGTTGCGTTCTGCAGGCGTTTCGGCTCTCAGGCGGCCGCGCCGCGCGCCCAGGGGGCTTCTGCCGTCGGCGCCATGGCGGCAGCATGGCCCGGCTACAGGCGACTTGGGGCGGGGGGGGGCCGGGCCACTGGGGGCAGGGGGGGGGCAGGGGTGCATCGTGCATCGAGCGCACGCTGCGGAAAGACACTTGCTTGGAAGAAGGATTTTGCTCGTTTGGAAGGACGCTCAGCAGCAGCACGGGGGCAGGGAAACAGGGGGCAGGGAACCTGGGGGGTTCCATTGGCGGGGCAGAGAGATTCGGCAGGCGCGGTGGGAAGTGCGGAGGGTGGTCGACGACAGCGCCGCTGCGGAGAAAGGGCGCTTGCTTGGAAGAAGGATGTTTGCTCTTGGAAGGACGCTCAGCAGCACTGCCACTTGCTCTGCGTCGCGATTTCGTGCGACTGTGCCGTTTCCACGCAGCCATTGCTTTTTTTTCTTGCGCGTTGAACGGCGTGGCAGTGTCGCGACTGCCCGTGCGCGCCGAGTGCGTGTTTTGGTGCGTTTGGTGTCGGTTTGGTTATTTTTGTTCCCGTTTGGGTGAATTTTGATAGTGGTTGCTCAGTTGTTGCAGCGTTTTGGGTCACGTTGCCTTGGTTGCTTCGGTTTGTTCTGGTTTGCGTCGACATCGAAGGTGTCGATGCCGTTTCAGTTCGTTGCGGCGTCGTTTTTTGCGCGTTCGCCCACTTGTGATCGGATTTGCGTTGGCGAATGGCGACTTCGTCGCGCGGGCGCCATTTTCGCCCCGATGCCTTTGGCGACGGAGGCTTTTTTCAGACGGCTGGCAATTTGGGTCCTTTCGAGGCGCAGGCGTGGCGCGCGCGATCGCACGCGATCGTAACGCGATCGCAACGCGATCGTAGCGCGATCGTTCGCGCGATCACACGCGATCGTAACGCGATCGTAACGCGATCGGTCGCACGTGCCGAAAATCTCAGCCATGGCCTGTTTCCAAGGATTCTCGGGCAGCTGTCCAGCGCAGCGTGGTTTGGGCATAATTTCATCACCACCCAGCGGCGTTGCGTCGGTTCCGCGGCGAAACCGTCGTTGTTTCGTCAATTGCGGTGTTTTGGCGTTGTTGTCATGCGTTTTGGGTTATAATTGCGCCGCCCCGCGCGCATTTCGATGCATGTCGGTTGGTTTCGCTTTGTTTCGCGCGTCTCGCATGTAGTTATCGCGGTTCTGCGTAGTGTCCGATCATGTTCGTTTATGTTTTCGTTTGTTTTGCGCTTGTTTGGTCACTTTCGCTTGTTTCGCGCTGGTTCCGCGCGGGCGGGCGCCCGTTCGCGCGGTCGTGCCGCGCTGCGCGCTGAACTTGCCCCGTTTCGCCCCGCGCGCGCGTTTTTTTCGCAGCGACGCCATGCGAGAGGCGAAATCGCCGCATGTTGCGCTGTGCGCTCGCGCCAGGCGGCCGATTGGCATTTGGGCCGATCGGCTTACTTCTGGCAGGCCGACTGTTGTTGATGGTGGCACACGCGTGGGCTTTGCGGCCAAGCGCGTAGGCCGACGGCGGCAAATTTGCGAGATGGGCGCGTCGCTGGTAGATTAGTAGGCCAGGCGAAAATGGGAAGGTAGACCGACTGATGCAAACAGGCCCACAGCCGATTGTTGTCGCGCACGCAAGCCGATAGGCAGATGGGCCGATAAGTCGATGGGCCGATAGCCGATGATCCGAGATGGCCCGTCGGCCAGCCCGCGCGCCGCGGGCCGGTGGCCGATCGGCCAGGTAGGTTAGTGACCGACGGGCGGGGGGCGGGGGGCCGACGCACTGGCTGGTTGGTGGGGCGATAGGCCGATGCGGCGGCAGGCGGCGCAAGCCAGATGCAAGCCAGGCCAGATGGGCCTGGCGCGAGCCAGGTTCAAGCCATATGCAAGCCAGATGCAAGCCAGGTGCAAACCAGATGCACGCCATGCGCAAGCCGCATGCGTGCCGGGTGCATGCCAGATGCAAGCCAGGCGCAAGCCAGATGCAAGCCAGGCGCAAGCCAGATGGGCCCGATGCAAGCCAGGCGCAAGCCAGGTACAAGCCAGGCGCAAGCCAGGTGCGGGCCGGGCGCGAGCCAGATTCAAGCCAGGTGCAAGCCAGATGCAAGCCTGATGCACGACATGCGCGCGCCAGGTGCAAGCCGGGCGCATTCTGGATGCAAGCCATGTGCAAGCCAGATGCAAGCCGGGCGCAGTGCAAGCCGTCTGCGCGCCAGGTGCAAGCCAGACGTAGTCCAGGTGCAAGCCAGATGCAAGCCAGGTGCAATCCATATTTAAACCAGATGCAAGGCGGACGTAAGCAGTAGAGCGCGCTCCAGATGCAAGCCAGGTGCAAGCCATGTGCAAGCCAGACGCAAGCCAGATGGAAGCCAGGTGCGCCAGATGCAAGCCAGGCGCGCGCCAGATGCATGCCAGGTGCAAGCTGGATGCAGGCCAGGTGCAGCCAGGTGCAAGCCAGATGCAGGATATTGGCAAGCCGAGTGCAAGCCAGATGCAAGCCTGATGCAAGCCAGGTGCAAGCCAAATGGAAGCCAGGTGCGCGCCAGATGCAAGCCAGGTGCGCGCCAGATGCAAGCCGGGTGCGAGCTAGATGCGTGCCAGACGCAGCCAGGTGCCAGCCAGATGCACCCCCCCTCCCCCTTGCTAGCCATGAGCGCGCCAGGTGCGAGACGCATGCGAACCTTCTGCAAGCCAGATGCACATATGCAGGCCGCGCGCGCGCCAGATGCAAGCCAGGCGCGCGCCGAGTGCGAGCCAGATGCAAGACAGAAGCAAGGCCGATGGAAGCCCCATGCATGCCATGCAAGCCGCAAGCCAGATGGCATTCGCAGCGTGCGCGCGCGTGCACGGCAGCTCTGCCTACATCCGCATCAGGCGCCACAAATAGCATACATGTCATATGGTGCACATGCATGACTGATCCTGCGCACCGTGCGCACGCGGATATGAAAGCAACTTTAACGTTATGTCATGCATGATCCACGCACGGTGCTTTCGACGTTCAATGTCAATGCTTTGATTTTGGCGTGCTACACGGCCTAACGACACATGCATCATTATACTTTGACTATCGTTGAACATGTTATGGACATGCGACTCATAATCAATATGTTACATGTGCCTGCCACGCGGGTATCATATCAAGTTTGGGCTCTTCTTCTGGGGCGATTTACTGGCAAGGTGCAGTCGTCGGGCGCCAGGCAGTGTCGCGGCGCCCCTTAGTCTACACGGATGGAGCGAACGCCGATCGACGCCGGGCGTCTGCCTCTCCTTGCTTCCTTCGCCCCCGTCGGACAACCATGTGGCGATGCAGATGCAAGTTGCCCCAGTTGCCGAAGTGTAAATATCCAGCATCCATAGGCGCCGGGCGACGGGTCGCCGGCGACGAGAGCCAGCCGCGCACGCGGCAGGAATGGGGCCGATGAGAAGAGAAGGGGGACAAAGAGGAGGAGGATGAGGCGGGGGAAAGAGAGGGGAAAAGGGGGGGCGGAGGGAGGAGCGGCAAGGAATTAAAAAACAAGGAAGGACATGATGGGCAAGTAGAATGTAGAAAAAAAAAAAACACACACCCACGGCAAGCTTATAATAACAGCGCATGTTGCTGGAAACCGTCATATTCTATTTGACCAAACATGGATTATCCCAAGCTGACATACAACGTGCCCCCCATAAAGCGTGCCTGTCAGACCTCAGGGTGCGATTCGTTGGGCGCGCGTCTCCCGAGGGAAATCGATGATTCTGGTTTTCCCAGGGAGAGTTCAAGAGAGCCCCAAAGGGAGCCCGGGAGGGTGAGTTACGGTTCGTCGGATGCATCGGACGCAGGGTGAGGCTCAGGGCAGGTTACTTACTTACGGCAACCGAGTCCCGAGCGTTAGTGTTATGGTTGGCGCCCTATGTAGAGAGAGGCCAGCTGGCGTTCTTCAGTATCTTCGTAAGTGCCGGACAGAATCCATGGGCGCCCGCCCGCTCACCCAGGGATGTCCTAACCGCCCGCCAACCACAGCGCATGGAAAGCGGTGGGGCCTGGTGCCGTGTTCGTCCTGATTCTATTCGGGCGATGGGCCTGGTGGAATACGTTGCATGCATGCCCCTTGCATGTTCCCATCGTTTCGTGTTCCTGGCGATTCCACGGGGTAAACGAGGGGAAGCCTCGTTGTTTCCGTAGCGGTTCTTTGTGGATCAAGCTCCCGCGCGCCAGCGTGTGAGTTTGCAGTGCGTTCGTTGCGCGCCAGACAAGAGCACAGAGCACCCTGCCCGAGCCCATGCCGAAAGCATCAGATCCTCTCGCAGGGCCTCAGCCAGTTGGCAAGTGGTTCCAGAATCTCGGCCCGAAGGAGAAGAAGAGGGTCCAGCGTCTTATGAAAAAGAGTCGCATCCAAGGTCTGATCATCCAGCGGCAGGCTCGCGTCATCAGGGGCTTCAGGGCCTCCTTGAACAACGTCATGAAAGCCGGCAGGGATGCGTTCGATAGGTGGGATTCGTTTGACAAGCGCACCCCTGAGTTCATGAAGGAGATGCAGGCTGAGATCGACACGGATGCCGAAGGCGAACCACCACCTCCTTAGAGTCACGTCCTGCCTCGCCCGTTCGCTGCAGCAGGCCGTCTGCGGCGCGTCGCTTTTTGGGCGGCGCCGCGTCGGCAGCTCTTGGCGCGTTCATTCCAAACGCATTGCTGTTTGCAGCTGTGTTTCGTCTTGTGCGCTGCGTGGTGTCAGCCGCTCAGCCTGACTCAGCCGCTCTCGCCCTGCCCGTTTGCTAAGACTGCTAAGAGCAGTTGCCAGTTTAGTTGCTGCGCGCTGGGCGCAGTTGTGCGACCGCAGGCGCTACGATCGCCATCCCTTCGCGGAGGCCGAGCAGAGACGTCGTCATGATCACCGCCATCGCCACAGTGGCCATCAGCATCATCATCCCCCAGTTCCCCATGGGCGCCACATGGGTTCCATGTAGGCCACAGCCTTCGCGGGCCCCAGGCTCATCTAGATCCTCCGAAGGCCCCGTTTTGCGAGGGCCTGGGCCTCGGGGCGCGCGGAGGGCGCGCGGAGGGCTCCGTATAGGCGCCTCTCTCAGCCCCAATGTATAGAGCACCTCGGGGTTCTCATAAGCCGAACTTTGGTCTCTACAGGGGGTCCCAATTCGTCCGCGTTGGTAAGTGTTTCTAGTGATCTAAGGCTTCCGCCTTAAATATCATTTATCAGTATTCTCCTCTCTATGCAGTTTGCCACTCTTGTGAACCTCCCACCTGGCAGCGTCGATTGCATCGGCATCGGCATCGCAAGAGCGCCCCAAGAGGGGCTCAAGTGGAGCGAGGAGCGGCGAGGAGGAAGAGGGGGAGGAGGAGCAGGAGGAGGAAGAGGATGAGAAGGAGGAGGAGAGGACGAGGTACAGGTTACAGGGAGGAGTGAGGACTCCGGGAGGACTAGGCGGGGAGTCGAAGCAGTGGCTGGGAGGAGGGGGGGGCCAGGGGGAGAGGGGGGAGGAGGACTGCTGTTGTTCCTTACCCAGGCTCTGCCTAGAAGGGTTCTTACCTTGTGCGCTTAAAGGGCTGGGCAGCGGGCCTCGCCCCGGGCGGTTCCCCCGGCATCCGCCCCGCGGTTCCCTCAGCTACGTTTCCTTAGCTTAGCGTTGCTTATCTCATCATATATTTCGCTTATTTCATAGTTGCTTAGTTTAGCTTCATCTTAGCTCAGGTTTATCTTGGCTTAGCTCACCTTCATCTTAGCTTCGCTGAGCTTTAGCATAGGAGAGCACAGCATAGCATAGCATAGCGTAGCATAGTATAGCGCAGCACAGCATATCATAGCATAGCATAGCATAGCGCAGCATATCATAGCATATCATAGCATAGCGCAGCACAGCAGAGCATAGCACAGCACAGCGCAGCATAGCATATCATAACATAACATAGCAGAGCATAGCATAGCAGCAAAGCAAAGGCGAAGCAACACCAGCGTAGCAGAGCATAGCGCAGCATGGCGTAGCACAGCTTAGCATAGCATACCTTAGCATAGCGCGGCATCCGCCAGAATGGCGAACGAGAATCTAGCGCGTCACTCTGGTGCCCCCAGGGCGCCCACAAAAGGGCGAACTAGAATCTAGTTCACCGCTCTGGTGCCCCAGAGTACCGCCAGAACGGCGAACTAGACTCGAGTTCGTCACTCTCGTGCCCCCAGGGCGCCCGCAAAAGGGCGAACTAGAATCTAGTTCACCGCTCTGGTGCCCCAGAGTACCGCCGGAACGGCGAACTAGACTCTAGTTCGTCACTCTCGTGCCCCCAGGGCGCCCGCAAAAGGGCGAAGGAGAATCTAGTTCGCCGCTCTGGTGCCCCAGAGTACCGCCGGAACGGCGAACTAGACTCTAGTTCGTCACTCTCGTGCCCCCAGGGCGCCCGCAAAAGGGCGAAGGAGAATCTAGTTCGCCGCTCTGGTACCCCGGCGAACTAGAATGTAGTGCGTCACTCTGGTGAGCATTGCATAGCAAAGCATAGCATAGCAGAGCGCATAGCATGGCATTGCATAGCATAGCAACTAATGCTGCTTTCCCAGGGGCTCCAACTTCTAGGTAGGGTCGCACTGGGGTAATTTAAAAGCGCCGGTGGTTTGGACCACCCGCCGACTCCTGCCCCTTCGGCAATCTTAAACCGCATTGGAAGTCATCCCGTGCTTCCCGAGGCATCTTGAGCCAGTAGGAACCAAGCGCCAGCTATCTTGAAGCACATTGGAAGCCATCTCTGGCCGGCCCGCCGCCCACCCACCGCCACAACCCGCCCGCCGCCTACGCGCCGCCCACCCACCACCGACCCACCGCCCACCCACCACCAACCCACCAACCGGCCCACGGCCCACCACCCCCACACCCACGGGACCCACCAACCCACCACCCACCCACCATCCACCCACCGCCCGCCCACCGCCCACCCACCACCCGCACGCCGCCCACCCTCGACTCCACCCACGCACCCAACACACACCCACCACCCACCACCCACCGACCACCCACCCACCACCCACCAGACCCACCCACCACCCACCCACCACCCACACAGGCCCCCCACCACCCACCCACCACCCACTCACCCACCCACCTCAGCCGCCACCCCACCACCCACACCACCACCCACCCACCGCCCACCCACCCAGCACACACCCACCACCCACCGACCACCACCCCACCCACCACCCACCAGACCCACCCCTCCCACCCACCACCCACCCCACACAGGCCCACCCACCACCCACCCACCACCCACACCCACCACCCACCCACCCACCCACCTCAGCCTCCACCCCACCACCCACCCACCACCCACACCACCGCCCACCACCCACCCACCACCCGTCCACCACCCACCTACCAACCACCTACCACCCACCCACCGAACCCAACTCGGCTCAGTGACCTTGTGCCCGGTGGCGCCCTGCAGTTGCCGTCCTGGATGATGGATGGCGACTCGTGCAGTCGCTCGAGGCCCCAGCAGCAGGAGCCCGCGGCGAAGCGCCCGCGGCGGCGCCAGCGGCGGCGCCGCTACTCTGGTTCTAGATGCCGAGGATGATGGCGGAGAGGGGGGTCCCGGACAGGCGCTGCAGCATCTGCGTCATGGCCCTTCCACTTATGAGAGCTTGCACGACTGGCCAGCGAGACAAATCTCAAGCATGATTGAGCACTTCGGAGAGGACGTCCTCCAGAGGTTGAGGAGAGTCGTGCGCAACAGGGTGGCCATAACCACCCACTACTCTGGGATGGGCACCGCGGAGGTCGCTTGCGGGGTGATCAACGCTTTTCTCGATCAGGACAAGCGCGTCAGCGACGTTGCAGGGGTGTTCTTTCGGTGCTATAGCGCGTGTGATTGTGTGCCACTGTGCCAGCGCGTTCTCCTGCATTCAGTCCGGGCTCCGTCGCAAGTTTTCAGACCACGCCACGTATTCGAGTCAATACTGGACGTCGTCCCCCCCTCGTTCGTTCAGAAGTGGGAAACTATCTTGGGGAGAGCTAGGGCGCAGATAAGTGCTGAAGTCTTGAGTACTGAAAAGAGGAAAGAGCGCGTCCGCGTTGAGGGTGATCGTTTATTCGTGAGAATGCAGAAGGACTTGTCCATGCTTACTTGGGTGCACGGCTGTAAGCATCGGTGCGCCAGGCACGGTGGTCATTGCGCTCACTTCCCGAAGTTGATGCCGAGCGAGTTGCACGTTGAGATAGCTGGCAGCACGTGCGTCGGCTTTTCGGCGTTCGGGGAGCAGTGGGCTTGGCTGGATCCCTCATCGTTGGTCTTCTGCGTGTGGGCCTGGATGCTCAGACATGTTCGACCTCATTTAGTGGTGCGCGAATGCGTGCCAGGGTTCCCGCCCGAGAAACTACACATGGCCCTCAATTGGGGCAGCTGCGAGCAGTCTCCCTTGTATGTCGTGCAGAGCACGACCTTCAACCCGACAGATCTTGGCATGCCAGTGGTCCGTAAGCGCAGATACACATTGTGTTTTTTGAGAGGGGCAGTGGAGCCGCGCATCCATTATGATGCTGACCGCTTCTTGCTGTCCACTGGCCACCGCCTCGCGGCTGATGCCAACGTGTTCTTCCAGGCTCCAGCCGCCGAGCTACGCCGCATGCGCGCTGCCATGGCTGTCGCCAAGCACCTGCCCCCAGACGTGACATGGAAGTGGCGCGCCGTTATGCCTGATGGCCCCCGGCGCAGACTTGAGCGCATTGAGGCCGAGATGGCAGACGTTGACCCTGCAGTCTTCACGCTGACTCAGAATGTCGAGCGGCAGAGTGTTTACACGTCGTGCGTGCCAGCCTTGATCAAAAACTCTTATATTTACAGAACGAGCTTGGACGATCATCTGGACAGGCCAGCTATGCCAAGCGAATATTTTGCCATGCAATGCATCCCTGTTTTCTTGCCGAAGTCTCACGCAGCTGCGAAGTACTTTGATTCTGAGGCGTTCCTCGAGTTAGTCGCACAGAGCGGCCTCGGTGGCGCGCGTGCGCTCACTGGCAATGGGATGAACGTTGCGTCAGTGGGCTCCGTTGTCCTCTTCGCATTTGCATCTATGGATTGTTTCGGATAGACGGCCTGGCCCGGCGCCCCGACGTTTGGTCGGCGCGCGCAGCCTGCGGTGGCAGCCGTCAACCTCCATGGATGGATGCGTGGGCTTGGTATTTCATCACTAATATTATAGGACAGCATGACATAACATCAGCAGCTGGCGCGTCCGCGTTGGAGGATGCAAGAGCGGAAGGAGGGGGGTGATGAGCAGGATGAGGAGGGCGGTGGGCGACGGAGGCGGCGGGGGGGTGCGGGGAGACCCACGGTTCCGAGGTTGTTTCGATCGGTTCCTCAGTTGGGGGGTGATTTGCAGACTGGCCCACGGGCATTCTCGGTGCCCGTTGCCCCACCTTGGCGCCCCCGCCCCACCGTGGCCCCAGGGCCCCTGCTGAAGCTGCCCAGGATGAGGAGGATGAGGATGAGGAGGGCGATGAGGATGAGGGAGGGCGAGGAGACCCAGGGCTCCGAGGTTGTTTCGATCGGTTCCTCAGCTGGGGGTGACTTGCAGGCTGTCCCACGGCTCGGTAACCGTGCCTATGAGGGCGGGGCTGTAGAGTCCATAAATGTTCCCCTGGAGGCATCTCGCGCCCATGAGGGCGGAGCTCTAGAGCCCAACACCCCCCCTAAGTATATGCGGGCCCTGCTAACGTGCTGAGAACTGGGCAACGGCTCGAGCTGATGAGACGCGCTGCAAGCTAGGCGTCGCTTTGCATTGCCCTTTTTGTGGCGGCGGTAGTGCGCGCAGCGCGTGATGGCGTTTGCTGCGCGCAGGCCCGGAACAATGCTGCCCTCCCACCACGTCCGCATCTGTC